ACTGAGACTAAACTTTTCACTCCTTTACCCCAATGAACAGACTTTACTGGATTATCTGTAGGGCTTTATAGATTCAAAGGGGTCTAAATATATATGTCTGATAAACAAAAGCTTTTTTTTATTTTATGTGCATCATCCATTTCCACCTTTTAGTTCCATCACTTAAAATTCCACTAGAATATACAGAAAATAGGTTAGTGTTGGTATCTTCTGAAAATGCTGATAGGTTTAAGAAGAAGGAACATATTTTCCAAGGCACTGTATCTATAATAATCTATTATATTGTTTAAATTAGCAAGATGCTTCTTTCCTGAATCAGAGAGAAAGACAGGTTAAGGTTAAGAGGTTAAGAGGACTCACACACTGACATAGGAGTCCTTGACATAACCAGGAAACTTTGATAGGCAATGGAAGAAGCCAAGGCCCTTAATCAATAATCACAAAATAGATAATATTCATTGAGGTTAAAAAGTTAATATTATCATTGTTTTCCTGATTACAAAATATAATAAAGACATCCATGGTTTGTGGAATCTATCACGGAATTCCATTTAGTTGGGAAGCATACATTTAAACGTAAAGAGGGAGAATTTTTTAACACAAAAGTAACCTTTAAATAAGATTATTGTAATAAAAAAACAAAAATCAAATGCTTGTTTGAACATCGAAGCATTGAATCACACCACTAAAAACCAGACTGCAGGATCCGTATATTTGCAAAGCCAAATAGTGTTACCTCTTGGATATTCACTTACAGATATTTGAGGAATCAAACTGGTCAGCATGTACTATATATTAAATTACACACAACTTTAGATCCAACTAATGAAAAGAAACAAAGTTAATAAAAATATGTATATTCCTATTGTTATATTGTTTAAATATCTGAGGCATGTCAGAAATATATATATATTTATTCATATATATGTATAATTATATATTCATATATATATATATATAAGAATATATAATGTATGTATATTAATGTTATTTAAGAGTTATTTACTGTAATTTGCAAATTAACTGCTGTGGCTTTTCTCTTCTTGACTCTTCTTCTTCTTGGATTTTGGCAATTGTGATGCTTTACAAAAGTATTTATACTTGAGTCAAAAAGTCAGTTTGGGGCTCCAGAGGAGCTGCAGAGATCTAGAGCTATGGTGGGAGAATCTTTAAAAAGGAAAGCTATTTTAGTAGTTGTGTACTTCAGGAAAGAGAGGTAAAATGAAAGCCTTTGTTTGTTAAAGGAAAGTCACATAACGTCAGATTTAACATGGTGCAAATGGGGATAACCAAAAAAACATGGAGGTTGGTGCTCTACTAGATAAGTACAACAAAGGAAAATGTTTTGATTTACACTATAAATGGCAGAAAATAACTGTGCACGTCTTCTTAACAAAAAACAAATTTACATTGAAGCATGGTGGTGGCAAAATGAGTTCAGTGTCAGTCCATCTCTAAGCCTTTAGCCTATTTCCCCTGAAATACTTTGGGTCAGATGTACCTGTGCAGTTTCTGTCAATGTGACGTCAAAAGCCCCCATGTTCAATGGGTATAAACTAGTGTTGCACCGAATACCGATACCAGTATTGGACGGGGCCCCGATACTGCCCTAAAATGGTGGTATCGGTATCGGCCGATACTGCACAGCTAGGCATAGGGTATCGCTATCAGTGCCAGAAAATGGCATCGGCGCAACACTAGTATAAACTAGCAAACAATCGAAGCTTTACATTCAAGATGGATTTTGTGTTACTCACAAGAGACCAGCACAACTAAGAGACAAATGGCAATTCCACATCAGGAGAAAAAAGAATTCAAGTTTGAGCATGAGCTACAAGAACCAGCAGAAGAGTGCTGCAGTTCTGTGTTTTGGCTAGAGGTGGTAGTATCATTAGAAAACTCTGCATTGAGTTAAAGCCAGGAAATAGGATTCTGTGTTGGAAAATATGTCCAATGGCTTTTTCAATCATGAGCATGTGTCAGTGCCCCCTCCTTCGCAAAAGTATTCTACTTGAAATGCCTCTGCCAGTAATTTTGTATTTCACTTAGGGAGGCAGCAACTTGCCAGGAATCACCTAGTCAGCAGGATATCTCCATAAGAAGATGTCTGCCGGCATTGTCACTGGAAGTTATATTTACAATTTGTTAGTAAACAAATAGCTAAAAGAAAAAAAAACACCAGGAAACAAGCGTAGAAGTACTTCTTCATGCTTCGGCGTAATGGTGGACCGCTAGCCAAACAGCATATAAGTTACGCTTGGAATATATGGAAATAACAGATGTAAAATGTTTAATTGACAAACAATTAGCCAATTGACCGTTGACATTAGGCAAAGTGGCTAATGGTTTGTAGCCCCCACCACAGCTGAGATTTTTGGATTTTAATTTTTTTGGGAGGCAACCATATGTTCAAGAATGCCAGCCATCAATTAAGTGATTTTAGAATAATTTGGACTCTTAATTTCTGAGAAAAAAATCCTCTTTCATACCTTTAAAAGTAGGGTGATACTAAAAGAAGGAACTAATTATTAGCAGCCAGAGCAAAAATGCAATGAGGAATGAAAACTAAATTGACACAAGGATGAGCTTGACGCATTGGGGACAGCAAACAATGGGCAGTCATCGCCACCAAAGTATAAAACATTAATGGGGATATAACAGAGACAGCAGCAGTTATAATTGCAATACTGAGACACTTGTCTCCATGATATATGATTATAAAATAGGATATTTTCAAAGCAGTCTGTCACACAAAGCTTCAAGGATGAAGACCCAGAGGATTTTACCCAAACTGGCTTAAATCATATCATATAGGAAAGTTAGACAGAATTAAAATGTTTTCTATTTTCTTGTGTCGTGTCTGAAGCCTGTGTTTTAACCTCTACATGTATAAGCCATGAATTAGAATTTGGACTTTAGATTTTCCCATACAAGGTCACTTGGTTGGAGGAGATCAAGCAACTGTTACCTCAAAAAAAAAGTTTTACTCATACAAAATAAAATAAATAAATATATGGACAGAAAGCGACATTATATGCTGTGTGTCGAGCCCTCCCTAGCCATACCCCAAAGACTTGCAGCTTGGGCTACAGCAAAATGTTGATATACAGAATCTCAACTCCCAGGGAGCTAAATACATTTCACATGATTAGATTTAAAAGAGGTAAAACTTACTGTATTGTGTTTCTTCCAATTCACCAATGTAAATAAATCTAAAGAGATTCCAGGAATCTGAATATTTTTGCACCTGTTCAAGTTTTCCAATAGGATCGCACAGCATTTGAGATGTTTACATATTTTCAGTCCTTTTATATGTGATTTGGGTTTATCGTATGCTTTCATGTGTTTAACACAGCGGAAACTAGGATACTTTTCAAAGGGGACTTTAAACTAACTATGAGTTAGTTTTACTAATTACGTTTAAGTATAGACATGTATGACAGAAAAAAAACTGCAGATGAAACTGAGAGTAGTTGGTTCATTAAATCGTTCTCTATGGTTGTTCTCACACTTACACAGCCTCTGTGCAAAAAACCTGCACACAGCAAAATAAGCAGATAAAGGAAAATGCAGAGAGATTAGGTGACTGTGCAGATAAATATACCACCATGCACTTCCTGGGGGTCAAAAGATGTGCAAGAGATGGATTACTTTGTGCAAGATTTGTGAAATACATAGCTTTTCATAAATATTGTGCCCCAAATGCCTTTAATAAAACAGACAACTAGAACTGGTGGAGCCACTTTTATTTAGCTTAACGTTATGTTGTTCTGCACCTGTATAAGCTCCTCAGATACCATTATCCTGAAATATCGTCCTTCTTTTTAACTCCTTCCTTAATATGCATTGCTTCCATACAGCAGATAATGATGAACCCTAGAGTATCCCAGTCTTACTAAGGGACCAGGGTATATCAACAATAGAAGCTATCAACTTTAGATAGATGGTGTGAGGTACTGTGTTTCACTTGATCACAGAAACATAAATCATCATAAGGGCGTCATTATATGATTATCTGTCACCAATTTCATTAATTCTGGATCATGTCTGAGAGACAATCTGGCTTTTTAAAATGGTGATCTAGATATATTCCAATGAATTTTACTGATTTTGGCCTCATTCCATTTTCCATCACGCTTATCCCTTCCTGGGTGCTGGTGCCTATCTCCAGCTGTCATTTGGCAGAGGCGGGGTACAACCTGGACAGGTCGCCAGTCTGTTGCAGGGCAACACAGAGACAAACAGGTCAAACAACCACTCACACACCTAGACCTAAGGAGAATTAAGAGATGCCAATTAACCTAAAAGTCATGTTTTTGGACTGTGGGAGGAAGCGTGAGTCCCTGGAGAGAACCCATGCATGCACAGGGAGAACATGCAAACTCCGCCAGGAATCGAACCCGGAACCTTGTTGCTGCTAGGCAGCAGTTCTACCCACTCCCCAACTGAGCTGCCCTTTGATCTGGGCCTCAACTATTTAAATTTATTGGGACTATTTTCCTTATGTTGAGTCCAAAAAAAAAGAACTAATCTTATATGCTTTTTACTTTTACTAGGTTAATGTTAATCCACTGTTAGCACAAATGTGTGCAAGACAGCTGATGTTCAAAACTAAGAAAAGCAATTGAAAAAGTATGACAGTTACAGTAAACATAAAAGCCTCTGGTGTAATAATGATAAAATGGTAAGTGACCTCTGCTTGTATATATATCAAGTCCAAAGACCCCAAAGCGCTTTATCAACATTTAGCATATCATCCATTCATGCACACATTTGCACAATAATGCCTCAAGAAAATCAGTTTGACCAGTTAGCTATGAGACTTGCAAAACGTGTTTACAGATGTAGAACAAAATGAAAACTTAAACCTAAAAGCCACAGAGACTGTCATTTGGAGATTACATGTTTGCTGGTATTCGTTTGACTCTGGCTTTTGGTTACAGCATGGATGCTTTCTGTTTTAAAGCTATTCACTTTAGTCTAACAGGCATTTACCTTCTTTTGGGCAGGTAATTTAAATTAATTTAAATAAAGTTTTTTTAATCAATTTTAGGTTAGTATTCAGGGATCAAAAATGGATGCAGACAAATAGATTAAAAAAGGTTTTAAAAAATAACCAGATTTTGTAAGAAAGACACGTTTCATATACGGTAACAAACTTCAGTTTGGCCGACTCACCGAGGCATTCACAGAAAACCACTGAAAAAAAAAAAAAAAGGTAGAATGACCTTCAGAAAAATGTGAAACAGTAAACAAAATAAACTGAAAAAGGACAAAAAAGTGCCAGATTTTTCTAAAATTTCCACCATTAGGCCAATATTCCTGAGTCTACTAGCAGAGCAGCGATGTTTTCTGTTGTGTTTGTTTTCAACAAGAATACTTCTGAGAAAAGTATAATATTAACTACAGTGCTACATACTTACTCAAATAGTTTATAATTTTGTCACTTTCAGCACCTTACATTGACATCCAACTACTTTTTTCAAAATATATATATTAAAGGAAATATACAACAAAGTCACTTTATAACTGTACATGAGTGGAATCCTACCTTAGATGTAATAATAATTCTTAAAACTGACAGTACTTCCTGTAAGAACACCTCTGTCATTTCAGGTAAATAGAAAATCTGAAGTTTATTGTCCTCACAGCAAGATCACCGTGCTGATCTGCAGCTCTGGGCACTCACTGGTACTCCTGAGTGAGGTTTGCCTTTGCCATGGATGATTTGTTATTTTTTATTTACCTTGCTTTTTTATCATGTCGGACCAAATTTAAGCAGGCATGGACATGAAACAGCAATATCGTTCCTCATCTTCATCAGCAATGAATCAGGCTAGTATTTCCATCTGTGCTGCCATGCAACCTCATTTACTCAGCTGTGGGTATGCTGTTGCCCTGTTGCTCCGGCCGGCGTCCAGACGTATTTAGCGAACTCCGTTTTAGCAGCCTATTGATGATGTCCGTGCATGTCTTTTTGTACTGATGCCTCAGCAGGGAATACACAAAGGGGTCAAAGGCTGCTTTGCTGTATGCTAGACACTTGGAGACAATTCCCCAATGATGGTCGATAGGCACTGCTGGAAATAACTCCACGATCCTATGGGTGGAGAGACAAAAGAGATGGGTGATGAAAGTGATGAGAGGAGGAGGTGAAAAGGCAATAATGGAAAAGGTATGCATACCCAGAGCTTACATTGCAAAGATACTTGTTCAACCAGTTTGAAAGTTAAGAGTGTGTTTTTACTAATCCTGGTATTTAAAACTCCATTAATTCAAGTAAGAACTTATGTTTAAAGTTTCCATTTCTCCAAATTTTAACTTAACACTTACAACCCACAGTGTTAATTTTAAACAATGACATTTTTTTATCATCCAAATTTTACTGTTGTTGTCATTTGAAGAATAATCTGTGACAAATCTATTATTGTTCCATTTCCTTCTGCCTATATTAGTCTCCTCAGGGAAACTCTGCAGTTCATTCTGCAAGATCCCAAGGATGTAACAGGAAAAAAGGGGTTTCAATCAGTGGTGATTTCTGATTGAGTACTAGGGAGGGTCTATGAGAAATCCCTTTTGAGGTTTGAGCTTTGGCCTATTGAAGTAAGGAGCAAGAAAGTAGGGCCCTGATTGGATAACAGGTAATAAGTCACTTCAGGTGACGCTAAACCTCTGAGACAGTCTATGGAGCAGGGGCAGGTCATGAAGCTCGGTGCTCGATGCTGCGGCCAGGCAACGAGAAGGTTTTCCTCATGAGTCGAGAGGAAAACGTATTAATTCAGTCAGAAAAGTCATTGTATGTTGAACTCTTGCCATGGTTCACAACAGCAATTTTCCCCCGTCGCAGTAATGTGTTTTATGTGTTTAAATATTTGTTAATGCAATAAGGTATGTTCTGATTTAATTAACATCACGGAGGCTCCCCTGTTTCAGAGAGTAGACACCACTGATTTCAGTATAGCCCCTCCACCCTGTTATGTGTCGAAAAAAATACAAAAGGAGGTGGCCAAGACATAGCTTCTGAGTGACCTCAACTGGCTGCTTCCAGTATGGAGGAGCAGCAGAAGGTCTTTAGAACTGAGCGATCTCCTCCCCATCCCAAACATTTTCTTATGTTGTTAATTCTGTCCTTTTTGTCCAGATTTTTGCTATATTTAGTTTCAACCATCTTTTTTTTTTAAACAGCCCAAACCAGCTTCATTGTGCCTACTGGAGAAAACAATCTCAATGAAGTAATGCTGCCACCGCCATGTTTAATTGGTGGTAAGTGTGTTTTCAGACTGCATTTTTTTTCACTATTAATAGCAGATCCAAAAGGAAACATTCACTGTCATCTGACAGGAGCAGCGTCCTCCACATATTTGGTGTGACACCCACTTGATTTTATGGCTAAATGCAATGCAAATGATTTTTGGAGGGGTTTCAACAATAGCATCATTCTCTCCACTCTTTCATATACTGTAGGAAGATTTATTAATAATAATAGTAATGGTTGTCTGGTCCACAGATTCTCTTTAGTTTTTTCTCAGATTTAAAGTTTTTCTCACTCAGTAATTTTCTAAAATTGGAATACTGTAATATAACCCCATACTTCTTAAAACTTCAAAAAAAGAAACCTTATCCCTTCCATATGATCTCTGTTCCTTGGTCATCATGATGCATTTTGCTTTATGTTTTCTGCAAAGCTCTGAAGCTTTCACAAATAAGATGGATTTAGACTGAGATTAAATTAAATAGAGATGGATTTTTTTACTCATTAGGTGACTTGTGAAGGTAATTGGTTTCCCTGGATATAATTAAGGGGTATTAGAGTCAAAAAGTAGTAGCCATTCAAAATTTCCCCACTTTCATTGATGGGCCCTTGGCTGGTACTTGTTGGGATCCCTGCGATTCCTTTTTAAACATCAACATTTCTACTTAAATATTTTTTCTGTCATGATTTTGTGGACATTAAAATCTAAAGAGAAGCGCCTTCTCCTGGTCAGACCCTGTAATTCAGTGAAAGGGTGGAGCCAGAGTAAAAAAAAATATGCACACCCAGGAAAAGGGGGATTTTGCTAGGAGTTGCAGGGAAGTGGGCTAACATTTGGCTGGAGTTTGACTGGGAAGGGCCATTTTGAATGGCTGTACAGAACGCAGTTTAAAGGTATTTGTCAAAAACAAAAAAAATGTTAAAGCCATAGATCACCTAGACCTATTCAACTTTTTGTTTATGTATCTAAATGATTAAATTTGAAGGAAAAAGAATGCTTGAATCCACTCAAGATTTACCCAGTCTCTAATGTGATAATAGTACAAAATCTATTTCTTCATTTACTGGAAAATGGTTGACAGTTTATATACACTAGTTAAAAATATGCCAATAAGTAATTATGGGACAAACATTAACTTTGTGTCGTTTCCATATCAGTGAGCAAACATGAAAACTTTCTTCAGCTTTACTGCTTTTCACATTCCTTATGTGGTCTTGTTAAACTTTTGAAAATATGAGGGATTCTGAGTGACTGCACTCTGGGTGATTACTGTGTTCAAAGTAAAGCTCTGTCAGCACATTAAAGCTGGCCTTATGGGCCAGGAGATTTTGACGGACGCTTGCTTCACTACACCCCAGAGGAGTTTAAATCAGCTGCCAGGCCAAAAACTGTTGGTATGGTGACCCTAAAATCATATGACAACCAGAGAGGCAGTAGATGAGCTTTCATCCATCCTCTGTAGTCAGTCTTAATCTCATTTCGGGTCATAGAGGTAGCAAGTCTAAAAGGAAAGATCTAGGAGGGAAACCCTCTCAGTGAAATTCCCCATCTTGCTGTGGGGCAACCCAAAGTTTCTTCATGGCAGAAAGGATTAAGGCATATTCTGGTCCAGGTTTTCCTCTCATTATTTAAGTAAAACTCCACATGTCAAATTAATATTGAAAAACGAATCAACCATTTACAGAAAAACATGTGTTTTTCATAACTGGCAGAATGCGATAACACAACACATTTTCTGATTGTGTAAGCAGATGGAAAGCCTGTATTAATCTAAAAGCAAAGCCAAGCTAATTTAATTTCAAAAAGCTTCACTTCCTTCCGCCATCACCAAAATAAAGCGGGGTGTAAAGCATGTTTTAAAAAAAAAAATCAAATGTACCAGTGTACTGAAGCTGCTCTGGAGGCAGAAATGTCTATGAAAGCAATTGATACAAATTAATAGTTTAATCAATGAACCAGGGCTGTAACGATTATTTTGCAAATCGATTAATCTGTCGATTATTTTTAAGATTAACCGATTAATAATCGCATAGCCAAATGTTCGTTAAAAAATATCTTTTTTTTTTTTTTTTAAACAAAATTAAGCCTGGTGAAACTAAAACTTTTCCACTTGAGGGGTTTTGGGTAAAGAATATTGGCAGGAGAATAAAATGTATTTATCTTCAATGCATTTTTTTTTAAATTAGATATATTTTCTGCTCTAAGAGGGTTGCTCTGTCAGCGAAAAGCATATTTTACAGTCTCTATATTCAAGTTAACAAAGAATCGATTACTAAATTAATTAACGATTATTTCAATAATCGATTATTCACGATAAATTCAATTAATTGTTACAGCCCTACTGAGAACCCTTTTTTAATTTTATTTTACCATGGTTTACACACATACAGGAACTCTTGCTTTCCATGCTTATCTTTGCTATTTTAGCTGAGTTTTTATTTAAATAAGTGTAAATGCGAATTTGGTTTGTCTAGAATACCGCAAGAGGTAAATAACTGGGGTCTTTCAGAGAATTGGGGTCTTTGGCCATAGAATAAACAATAATGCTTTTCACAGTCTCAAACCAACATCAAATAAATGTAAGCAGATCCATTTAACATGCCCGATAGGGACAGCTTTGATGAGGAAAAAGCCAAAAGGCCAGTATTCTCTATATCGGGGGGAACTAGAACAATCTGTTGAGAGGACTTTTTTTTTAGCCAAAGAAGTTAGGCATTGGCGGTAGATTGAAATGAAAAAAGGGGGGAAAAAAGTTATTTTTCCTGTTTATTACAATATTCATTGCAGGAGGCCCAGCAAGTTGGTAGCAGTGATCTAGACAGAAAACACCATAACATTACGGCAAAGAAAATGTTTTGAAATTCCTTTTGCATTATAAAGCATTTCAGAGCATATTCGCTTTAAATAAGGTAGCTTTAATACTCATTGGTTTCATTTGGTCTCTTTGGCTTTTATTGTTTAGATTATATTTATTAACCATCTGAACTTGTAACGTGTATTAGTTCGTTAACAGAAAACACTGAGTCGACAAACCTGAAGAAGATTTATCATAAATAAAAAAAGGTATGAAATGTATATTTTCCATTTTAAACTATAGTTTAAAATGGAAAATGTTCTCCTTTTATTCTACTCAACAATATGTATACAGGTTATGTTTAATAGACAGTAAATTTGTCTTATTTTATTTTACCAATATGTTGCTAACCTGTTTAGTTTAGTTTCAGTAAGATCAGAATAGAAAAAAGTATATCATGAAGCAAAAGTTGCTCAAAGCAAAGTTTTCTGATTCTGTGATGACAAAAATCTAATTCTTTTGAAGCCATCTGGACATGGAAGAACATCTGGTCCTCTGAGAAAATGGCTATTCTTTTTTGTACTTCCTTCAAGGGAGACATGTAACAGACTTTATAATGCTTGCTCTATTTGAACTCAGAAGCTGGGGTTGCAGGGTTCTGAGATATCAAAGTCGCCTGGAACTAACCTCACCTGCAAGCTGAATTCTCGCGAAAAGTTCACGAACACAAGATATTCCATCTTGTAACACCACAGCAGAGGTGGGTAGAGTACCCAAAAATTGCATTTAAGAGTAGCACCAACTTCAAGAAACATACTGAAGTACTGAGTAACTGATCTACTCACTGCCCGTGATCATAACAACTGATTTAGTGCTTTACAAAATAATTAAAATTAATAAAATATGAATTGATATGCACATTATGGTGTTTCAAAATAATAAGATATAAATAAACATAAAACAATTAGGAGTGAGGAAAACTCTTCAAAATATGTTTTTGGGTTACAAAACTTACAAAATGAATAGCTACAGTATGTAGAATAGATTACATTA